GGCAGGAGGAGAAGGGGACAACAGAGGATGAGATGGTTGGATGGCATCACCGACTCGATGGACATGAGTTTGAGTAAACTCCGGGAGTTGGTGATGGACAGGGAGGCCTGGTGTGCTGCAGTCAATGGGGTTGCAAAGAGTTGGACACGACTGGGTGACTGAACTGAACTGAACAACCACGAGGTCTCTGTGGCTTGTAACAGCTAAGATTTATTTCTTGCTTTTGCTACATTGCTTATGAGTCAGCAACAGGCTCTGCTCTGCATTTCCTCACTCAGGACACAGGCTGATGGAGCTTCTACTATTCTGGAGCAGGGATGATTATCATGTCTGGTGGAAGGAAACACAGGGCAAATTGCATACTAGTTCTTAGGGATCTCAGCTCAAATGTGATACATGTCCTTCCACTGACATTTAATGACAAATCACATTGCCTCACCTAACTTCAAGGGGATGGAGAAGTGTGCCCAGGAGGAGATGTGAATACTGAGAAACAGCTTCAACTATAGGAACTACCAAAGGGTCCAACTACCAAAAAGAGTCGTATATAACTGAGCGACTGAATAGCTGAACTAAAAGTAACTACCACACCCTCAACACTGAGTTTTTAATTTTCATGCCTCTATTCCTCATATCAAGGATATTTTTTATAATTGTATCCTTTTATTCTCATATTTTTGATTTGTTCTTTTTTGCCTCTAATTTTACACACAACTTTAAAAACTTTTTAAGATTGCTTTATTGTCTGCTGTGTTTAGGATACAGTCCTATTGTTTGGGTGTCTGATGATTCTCACTGATGGTAGATTGTTTTATTTTATAATTCTGTATGGTCAACTCATCTCCTGTGAAGTTTTACTTAGAGGCTTCTGTGTTTCCTGGGCACAGGGTGTGTCTCTCCATAGTGGTTTGTATTTACTTCCAACAGTGTTCCTAGCAGCACCATTGTGATGTTCTTTTCAGAATCTCTGCATATTGCATCATCTCTTCTGTTATGGCATGTACTTTGTGGGTTTGCAGTTTTCCTGTGAGGAAGGAGAAAGTTTTTTTTCCTATCAGAGTCCTGGGCGAAGCAGATAAACTTCCTTGATTTGTTCCATTGTGACTGTTCCAAAGATGCAGTCCTTGGGAAGTCTTCACTTTCTATAGGAGGCTCAGAGTCAGCTCCCTGCTGTGGGGTCCCTGAGGCCTCATCTCATATTGCATGTGAGTGCAAAAGCCCAGAGTCCAGATAGCTGAGGCTGACTCTTATCCCCAAGGAAGCTGCAGGGTCAGCTTGGTTTCAGTTCTCTTTTCTTTTCTTGTATCTGAGTATTTCCATTTCTTTTCTTGTGGATTCAGCTATTCCTTTAGGCTAATGTTTGATTCACTTTATCCAGCAGAAATTTCTAAGTATTTGTAGTCAAAGGATTTTCAAGTTTTCCAGTCAGCCAAAATAGCAGTACCAGAAAACATTCTTTGTATTTGAAGAGTTCATACAATTAATAAAAAACCAATCTCACAAGAGGGACAAAGAATTAAAGAATTTACACAAGTAGAAATACAAAGGCCCAACAAACATTTGAAAATGAATGTCAAAAAATACAAATTAAAACTATGAGAAGAGGTACAATATTGGTTCAAAGTAAAAAATATTTTTAAAAAGAAAAGAAAAAAAGACAGGGCTGTCCATGGTATGATAAATTGAGCATTACTGTTACCCATTAAATGGAAATATCAATGGGTTATTTGGAAATAATTTACTTTAAGAACCTTATAAATATTCCTTTCCCCTGAGCCAGTATTTACACCTCTGGAATCTACCTTAATCCAAAATGCAGACAACTGGCAAGTTTCACATTCAGAAAAAAAATAGATGTTATTTTTTTCTTTTGAATGTGTATCACCTTTCTTGAAATCAGAGATATTTTTCTTGCCCTGTAGTCTTCAGAGTCTCAGGCATAAAGAAAGATTACATATGTAACAAAGAAGTCATATAAAATCTTAAGGAACAAGCACCATCAGGGAATGGTCACAGGGCAGCTGATGGGCATGTCTGGCCCCTCTGTACCAGCCCAAACTGAAGTGTAGCTTGGAAAAACAGCGGAGTGGAACCAGATTGTGAAAACCACACATTCACCATTCAACACTCAGCTACCGGCTCCCGTCTTAACGTAAGCACTTTCTTGTGCCCCCAGACTGAACGTGGTTCTCTGCCATGTGCTCCCCATAAAGTCTGCTTTCTTCTGTCATGGCACCACTTACCCTGCCCTGCCCTCACCACAGGCTGGGAGCTCCCTTGGGTCAGGCGCAGGCTACCCTTCACCTCTCTAGTCCAGTATCACATGGCACACATCTGAGGTACTCAATAAGTGTCTATAGAACTGATGGATGAGACTCATGGGCGACTGTGCTCATTCCACCAACTGTGGGTAAGGTGGTTTGCATGAGACCTTGCACCTTGCAGGACAATAATGCAAGCACCTGCGTGTTAGGATTTCTTTTGTGGCAGCTTCTCCAACTTCCAATACTGACAGAGAGAGGTTTGTTAGAGGCCCAGATGCATGTGGGTCAGGAGGCTTGCTGCCAAGATCCAAAACAGAAGGTCTGGAGTGAGTGTGTGCTGCCTTCGGACTCTGGGAAGTATCACTGATATTCCCCAGGAAACTTATGAAACCTCCTGTTTATAAAGGTTTCTCCATCTGTTATACTTTCCCTCCTCCTCCTCTTGGTAACACGGATGTTTGCATTCCACAGGGATTCCTGTCACTAAAAGGTCTGTTTTCTCCTGCGAACACCACCCTCATCAGCCAGAGCTCAAACCCTGGCAGCTCCCAAGCACCATCCTCCTCCCCTTGGACTGCAGCAAAGCCTCCAAACTCATCTCTCCACTCCCAACATCCACTCCTAATACATCATCCACTCTGAAGTCAGAGCAATGTTCTAAAAATAAGATCTGACTATGGCAGCTGGAGTAAACTCACGGGTGTCTTCTTATTGCCTGCGGGGCAAACACCCAGATTGTTCTCAGGGCCTGGCATGTGGCCCAGGTCTAACAAGTCTTACCTTCAGCCTGTCACTGACACACTCCAACACCACAACCAAACATAAGACGGTTTGTTTCAGAGTCTTCTCACCCCAACCCCCACATCTTTGCACATGCTGTTTCCTCCACCTGGGGTGTATTTCCCCCTCTAGTCTGGATAACTCCTATTTTTACTTTAAAACATAGCAACTCTTTTACTGCATAGCACAGGGAACTACATTTGAAATCCTGTGATAAACCATAGTGGAAAAGAAAATGAAAAGGATATGGAATTCTCCAGGCCAGAATATTGGAGTGGGTAGCCTTTCCCTTCTCCAGGGGATCTTCCCAACCCAGGGATCAAACCCAGGTCTCCAGTATTGCAGCCAGGATTCTTAACCAGCTGAGCCACCAGTCAGTCTCATAAAGAAGGTTAAATTCTTGCAGCCTATGGGCTCTGCATTACTAGTCAGCTTCTCTGGTTATTTTTATCAGGAGTTGCTTGGAGGCCATTCATGTTTTCTGGTTCCAGGCCCCCAGGGCTCACTGGAGCAGTGGCTGCAAGGCCCTTGTGGGCAGCTTTGGGTGGGGCAGCAAGCCTCGCTCACCCTGACATAGGCCCTGGGACTGCCCCATAGGTGTGATCCTAGTCTGGATCCATCAGGGCCAAGGTAGGGCAGTGGGCAGGAGTCTAGTTCCTTACCAGAGGGGCCACAGCTACGGCTCGAATTCTGATTTGCAAGTTTTTTAAACTCCATGAGCTCTGCATGGTCCTTCTCATACGTCCTCTTTAGGTTCTCCACATACTGCATCATCACTTCTGTTGCTTTTGACATGCGTTTTTCCTGCAGGGATGGAGAGGAAAAGCTCATCAGCCCAGCTTGCTCTGAGCCAGGCTCTGGGTTGCAGGATTTGAAAGGTTATAGGGCTACGACTCTACTCTTTAACAGTTTGCTGTCTGGGGTGTGAGCTGAAACCTGCTCAGGCACCTGCCCTCAAGGAGAACAAGAACAAGCCTAGCCATAAAGCCTCAGGAGAGGAGAAGGAACAGAATCCTCTCTGCAGAGAGTGGGTCAGGGGAGGCTTCATGAAACGGGGTGAAGTGCTGTAGGGCGTGGGCGGCATCTGGGCACGTAGCTATGAGCATGAGAGACAAAGAGCGTTCAGTCAGGGAACTCCAAGAGCCAAGGTCTAGAGGCAGGACATTACCAGGCTTGTATCAAGGTGAGGATTCCCCCTCCAGACAGAATCCTCTGGAGAGTAAAGGAGATGCCTTCAGGAATCATGGGCTTCCCTGGTGGCTCAGAGAGTAAAGAATCTGCCTTTAATGCGGGAGACCCAGGTTCGATCCCTGGGTTGGGAAGATCCCTTGGAGAAGGAAACAGCAATCCACTCCAGTATTCTCGCCGGGAGAATTCCATGGACAGAGGAACCTGGCGGGCTACAGTCCATGGGGTCGCAAAGAGTCAGACACAACTGAGTGACTTTCACTTACTTATCAGGAATTGTGCTGGGGCAATAGGCATATACCAGAACTGTCTGGAAAGCCAGGAAAGCACAGGTCATCCTGCTTATGTAGGAATCAGAAAATGGTTGGGTTTGTTCACAAGGCGAAAAGGTGAGTTAGCGCTGAATTGAGTGCTAGAATAAGGAGTTTGGACTCATTCTGAAGGAAGAGGGGAGCCATTGAATGTCTTAAAGGAGTATCATAATCAGTTCACCCGTGGAGAGTGGTCTGAAGGAAACAAGATGGGTGGCAGCTAGAGCAACAAGGAAAATGAGGATGAGTGCCTGAACCAGTCCAGTGGAACCAGAGAGGACTCTGAGGACTGAGACTCAGAAGCCACTTGGAGAAGGGTGCAGGCTGGAGTGAGCAGCTCGTGCACGGAGCAGCACGTTCGCAAAGACCGTGCAAAGCGAAGAGTCTTCTCTGCCGACACCTCTCAAAGCACTCAGAGAGCCCATCCATGACCTGCCTGTCTGCAGAGGGGCATGCTCAGTGACCAAACTCTGGACAAAGTCCCCGTAGCCGTGAGCTGAGACCAGCCACTTCCCTAAAGCTCTCACTTTGTGCTGCTCCCAGCTGGAATAGCTTCCTGGGTGCTGCCTCCCAGGAACGTTGGGTGACTTTTCCCTAGAAGAACACAGGTGAGACAGCCCTGTGGCTTGTTCTTTCATTCTATGAGAACCACCCAGGCCAGGCCCCAGGAACACCCCTGCCATGCAATCCACATAGCAGGACACATGGTACACAGGTCCATGGTAACAGCAACAGCGACAACAACATCCCGGAGCTTTACCGGTGTCACAGCAGCCTTGTATGGCAGACACTGCATTCTACAGTTGGAGCAGCTGGCGCACAGAGAGCTCATTAACTGACCCAAGGCCACACAGTGAACCCTGGTAGAATCAGAATGAAAACTCAGGCCATCTGGCCCCACAACACCATGATGGGTGGGGGCAATACCTTGTGTGCCTCAAGACTTCAAAGTGGCTGCAAGGGAGCCACACTTGGGCTTACATCCCAGGTTTGCCCGTCACTAGTGCTATTACCTTTCTGAGACATCACATCTTTATTGAGGAATATCTTTCCAAGGTTACTGGGGACGATTAATGAAACAAAGCAGGTTTTCCTAAAGCATGTTTTGCCAAACACTAATTCTATGGGAGTTGAGTAGGTATTTTATAGTGAGAAAAAAAAAAAAGAAGGAAGGGGTGGTTCTTTATTCAAATACATTTGAGAACTACACTGGTAACATTAAACAGGATTTTTCATTACAGGACTTCTCAAAGCCTTAGCTTATGCCAACATGCATTAGAAATCTCCAAGGAAGGTAGCACGCAGCAGTCTAAATTGCTTTAGTTGTGTCTGACTTTTTGTGACCCCACAGACTGTAGCCTCCCAGGTTCCTCTGTCCTTAGGATTCTCCAGGCAAGAATACTGGAGTGGGTTGCCATGCCCTCCTTCAGGAGATCTTCGCAACCCAGGGATTGAACCACCATCTCTCACATCTCCTGTACTGGCAGGAGGGTTCTTAATCACTGGCATAAAAGTTTTTTCTGGGGGAGCACCTTAAGAGTTGAGTGGTCTGCCAAAAATACTCTGAAACAATTGCAATTGCGGACATAGGATGTCTGGCCCAGAGGAAGACATCAGTCAGTGGGGTCTGCAGTTGTCAGTGCTTACACTGCGGCCCCAGTTACAAGAGGCAGAGCAGAGCTCACCTGGCGGACGGCCCCCACCATCTCGGCACGGCTGGAGAGGCGGGCAGCCAGGCGGTGCAGGACAGCAATGTCCTCCAGCAGCTTCTGGTAGGTCTCCCGGTGCTCACAGTGGTGCCAGAGGGAAGCTGAGGACTGGGGAGGGAGAAGGAACATCACCTGGGGTCCTCACAGACCAAGACTTGACTTGCACTGTCCTGACCAAGAGGAGGGGGCCTCTGTAGGCCACCAGCTGCAGCTGTTTCTGGGGTTGGAGAAGCACAGTGTGGACACCATATACCTGGCCAGCCCGGAGGAAGGGAATCACATCCAGATCTCTGGTGCCCAAGGTGCTCCCTCTGTCATCCCAGGTCACCCAGCCCCCTTTCTGAAAAGCTGCTGAGGGCTCAAAGCCCTTATACACAGCCCTGAGGTAACCAGGTCTTCAGGATCTCAGTCTCAGCTCCTCTCAGCTCTCTGAGGAAGATTCTGCCTGGCTCAGGGCCTCAGCCCCATTTTTCATTTCATGAGACTCTTCTTGGTGACTAAGAAAAGCGGGACACCTGGCCCAGTCCCTGGGGACAGTCCCTCCTGCAAAGCTTCTCCAATCAGGCTTTGCAATTACCGTAATGGAAGCTTTGAAGTTTTCCAGTTCCTTCTCCGTGTTTTCCTCTGTCAGGTTGCGTTCCCTTTCCGCCTGGTTAATTCTAGATTCCAGGGTGTAGCTGTCATTTCTAAAGGCCAAGGACAGTTGTACAAACACGTTCTGTTGGGAACAAGAGTGTGGGAGAAGCGCTAGGAGGAGGTACTGAAGGGACCAAGGCTGCCGGCGAGTTTTTTGCATGAGCATTTACATCACCTCATGGAACCAGCCCCCCCAAGCAGCCGAGTACAAGTGAAACTCTCCCTTCATGGAGCAAACTGCACAAAAGATGGTGAAACAGCAACTTGAGGTCCGTGCTAGGTCCTTCCCAGGACCAGAAGACCAAATGTGTTTTACTGATAAACAATAAGACAGTAACACTTGGCTTTTTCCTAAATGTCAAGAAACTAACATCCTGTATTTGGGTTTAGATAAACTCAAGCCAACAGAGCTGACTGTGTAAGCAATTTGGATTCATGCTAGGATTTATGGCACGTGAGTTTTGGAGGTTTCACATGAAACTACCATATTTAAAGAAACCCCACTTGAGATGTTAGCCTGCTGATCCAAAGCACATTTCAATCGGCATCTTACCTGAATATTCCAAATCCTACATTGAAAGCAGCTTTTAGAAGTTGCCAGGAGATTAAATAAAACCAGGTATGATTCTGTTAGGAGAAGTTTTCTGGAAAGAGTATTCCATGCCAAAAATGCAGCCTGCATGAATGAACTTTGAAAGTTGGGGTTCATCACACATGGAATTCCTGGGCTAGTAGGAAACTGCTGGAGAGGAGAGACAGACAGATGGACTCTATACACAGGAAGGAAACAATGGCCTTCATCTGCCTTGCCTGCATCAAGTGGTAGCAGATTTCCACCCTTCGGGTGAGCCGATTCTGCCTGAACATCTGAGGTTCATGTAACAGGGTCCACGGTGCATAGACATCTCCAGATGGAGAACCAAAAACTGAGCTACTCAATGAGATGATGAGAGCAACACCGAAATTGTCTCTGTATCAAATGTCTTCTCTGCGCCAGCACTTTCATGCACCTTAGCTCATTTCATCCCTCAACCACATTCTGCATCAGGAACTGCTGTGTCCACTTTATGGGTAAAGAGATGGAGACCAAGAGAGGTCATTAACTGGCTCAAGGGGCCACAAAGGAGTAGCAGAGACAGGATTCGGCCTCAGACTGATTGCAAAGCCTGTGCTCCTTTGACTGTGCTGACCACGGATTGTGTCCATAGACATTGAGGACAGGAGCGCACTGTTAACCAAACCACCCACGGCCATCTCCACCAACGTCAGCGGGTGGGGTTTTTCTGTTCTGCCCAAACCTCAGTCAGGTTTACCAGTAATGGTCAAAGTTTTGTTCCCTGTACCTGGGTTATCCCCTTTAAAAGCAGTGCAATATAAAGTGCCCTAAATTCAGTCGGAAGACGAGGATCCAAATGTTGGTTCTGCCAAGCACTGGGTATGGGATCTCAGATGAGTCATTTAGTCCCTTAGTTTCCTCCTTTGTTCTGCTTCCTACTCTACCTGTTTCTCAGAGCTGATGAGAGGGTCAGCTGAAAGGACGGACATGTGTGTGTCACGGGCTATAAGTGCCATGTCTGTGTGCCAGGCAATTGTTACTATCTGTGCCAGTATTTCACATTGTCTATCTCTCTTTGCTCATGTGGTCCACTGCGTCTCAGAAAGAGTATGTTTGCTTTCTTGTTATCAGGGTAAACCATGCTATAAGACTGGAAAACCTTCCATCCTCCTAAGCTGGAGTGAAAAGGATTCTGGAATCATCTATGTTCTTGCTCTCTTCCTTCTATCAGCAACATAATTGCCATGGAAACAAACTACTGCTGTTGTCAGAGGTCCTCACTCTCTTACCTCCAATGCATTCTCTTTGTGCATCTACCCCTTCACTGGGATGAAATGCCTCCCAGCTCTCTCACCACCCCCACTGGGACAGCATCTCTGCAGAGACAAGGAGGCTCTGCGGGGAATCAGTCGAGGGGAGAGAGCTGCCCTCACAGTCTCTCACTATGGCTGAACTGGCTTATGTCTGAAACACTCAGAAGGAAACACCCTCTTCTTCCAAAGTTTGAAACATGAAATCTGACCCTATTTTAATAATTTTAAAATAAATTTGATGTCACTCTGCAGCCTCCCAGCAGCTGACTTTGTGTACCTAAGTAATGTTTTAAAGAAAACAATCTTTGAAGAAATATGGGACTTCCAATTACCTTCTTATCCCTGACCAAAGTTGTTAAAATCTTCCATTAACTGGGGTGGGGTGGGGTGGGGGGATGGCTGGTTCAATTGGTCTGATCACAGTGCCCATATTTCCTCCATGGTCACTCGTTCTCATGTTTGTGTACAAACGTCAGGAGCAGAGGCTGGAGAAGGGAATGTTTTGAATAAATCCACTCATGCTTAAGTACTCAATTTCATAAAGCACTGGAATTACTTACCTCGACTTCCTTTTCAGTGAGTGGAGGGGCACTGTGAAAAGAAAAAAACACAGAAATGAACTTTATCCAACCCATGAAATAAACCCAAAGGTGCCTTTGAACAACCAGCAGACCAGGTGTTTCCAGGAATTGGAGTAAGCAGGACCGCCGAGATGGAAAAGATGCAGGGTGCAGTTTGCGTGAGTTCTATAACCAGTGAGATACCGCCCAGACACTGACTCCTACAGAGGAAGAGTGTTGGAAAATACTAGATTCCGGGGTCAGTGCTCTCCAAGTGCCTCTACTAACTGTGACTTTGGATGAGCTATTTAAGTTTGCTCATCTGTAAAATGGGAATAGTATCTACCTTGCAGGAGTCTTATAAAGAATATGTGTATGTGTGTAAAAATATGTACACAATACATGTATATATGGGTTTATTTTCACACATATATGACATCTACACAATTGTTTATGTGTATATACATATACAAGCATATATACGTATGTACATACGTGTATGTGTACATCTGTGTATATACATGTGATGTCTACACTTGGTGGGCACTCAGGAGATGTTGACTATTACTATGACCAACAGGCGTGTTGTGAAGTCTTAATGAGAGAATACACAAGCTATATACTTTATGAGTTGTATACATCTGAACAGCCATTATCATTTTTCCGGGGCTGCTCAGGTCTGCAAAGCCTGACGCTTCTCTTGCCCCTGAGGACTGTGACAAGGGTGCATGTGAGCCAGAGAATAAATGGTAGGAAAGAGTGGCCAGAGCTCTTCTCCCCACAAAGACCTCCTCTGATGGCTGGAATCAGATCGGGTGAGAAAGTCCCAGCTGGTGCAGAGGGCCTGGTTCCCCCAGCAAGCATCCTCCACTCTGCACGCTCGCTCTGCCACCACTCTGGCAGGTGACTAAAGCTAGCCCAGCTCAGAAACCTGGACAACGTAAATAACACACGGGCCCTTTCCTGTGCTGGGGAGGGAGGACGAGGAGGAGTCCCACCGGCGTCACAGGACTTGGCAACACAGCGTGCCATCAATAAGGCTCTCAGGAAACACAGCTTCCTCCCTTTGACGGGTGTGGAGGGACCCTGGGAGCAAAGGTAGGGGTCAGCAGTCTCTGCAAGGGGCTGGTTCTCACCCGGGACAAGGGACTATGAGAACCTTCCTGTCAGGATGAGACAACAGGACCCCACGGCCATCCAGTCCGCAGAGTACAGAGCACGAGATAAACAAGTGCAAAGATGTTGGATGCTTGCAATTCTTGCCACGACCCCATCCATCAGGCCCTTTCCTCTGGGGACCAGCCAACAATCTCAGTTCTCCTATAGAGCATGCACATCTTGCCTAAATGGTGTATCAGAACTTACTGAGCTTACCTTTGACTCTTGACTTTGTTTGGACATTATGTGAAAATTACATATTTTCATCAATTATTAACCAAACTTATTTTTCAACCTTGATTACTCACTGGCTACTTTTCTTTTTGCTATAGAACACTTTTTTTTTTTTAATGTACAAGGCCTTGAGGGCCCAGGGAAGTGTGGTTTAGGTAAAGAACTGCATGACAAGGCCAGCTCTCAGAGCAGAGAGCTCTGCCTCATGAACTGTCACTGGCAGGCAAGGGGGCAAAGCCATTACCCTCCAGAAAGGTGGTGACGTTTGAGGAGACTAGTTTGGATGTCACTGTGTGCCTCAGAATTCGACCTGCCTTAAGAGGCCTTAGAATAAAATCAAGGGCCTCTGTGAACTGTCCCCTACCAGACTCTTTTTCTCACTCTTCAGCCATGTTGGTTGTTTCCTCTTCAAACACACTTACCTCATGTGGCCCCAGGGCCTTTGCATTTACTGTTCTTCCCTTTTTTTTCGTTCTCTTACATTTGTAATTCAGTAGTTTTTAGTATATTCATAGAAGTGTACAAACATCATTACAGTCAACCTTAGAACTTTTTAATCATCCCAAAAGGAACGCTGAGCCAANAACCTTAGAACTTTTTAATCATCCCAAAAGGAACTCTGAGCCAATTAGCAGTCACTCTCCCAACCCCCATCCTGAGCCCTAGACAATCACTAATCTACTTTGTCTCTGTGGATGTCCCTATCCTGGATATCTCATATAAACGGAGTCATATAACACGTGACTGACTTCTTTCACTTACCATAATGTTTTCAAGGTTCATCCACCTGGTAGCATATACAAATACTTCATTTTTATGGCTGAATAGTATTCTATTCTACAGATATATCATTTTACTTATCTGTTTATCAGTTGATAGGCATTTGGTTTGTTTCCATTTTTAGCTATTATGAAAAATGCTTGCGTCTGAACATTAACATTCCAGTTTTTGTGTGGGCACATATTTTCATCTCTGCTATATATGTAGGAGTGAAATTGCTGGGCCATACAATAACTGTATGTTTAACTTTTTGACGAATTGTTATTCAAAGTGGCTGTACCATTTTACTGAGAATTTCAATTCCTACACATCCTCACCAACATTTGCTACTGCCCATGTTTTTTATTGTGCTTCCATGGTGGCAGTCAGTAAAGCATTGGTCTGCGATGTGGAAGACCTGGGTTCGATTCCTGGGTTAGAAAAATCCCCTGGAGGAGGAGGAGGGCATGGCAACCCTCTCCAGTATTCTTTCCTGGAAAATCTCCATGGACAGAGGAACCTGGAGGTCTGCAGTCCATGGGGCCACAAAGAGTTGGATGTGACTGAGCGACTAAACATAGCACAGCACATGTTTTCTATTATAACTATTCTAGAGACTTAAAATTATATCTCATTTTAGCCATTTATGATAAATGATAAATCACTGATTTAATGACATTATTATTCATGATAAACCATTTGAATTTGCATTTCCCTAATGACTAAAAAGTGAGGAAAGGAAGGCACCTAAAAGATGGCAGAGTAGAAGGATATGCGCTCATCTTCTCTGAGAACTCCAAAACTGCAGCTAACTGCTGAACAATCATTGACAGGAGAATGTTGGATCCTACCCAAAAAAGACCCCACATCCAAGGGCAAAGGAGAAGCCTCAATAAGGGTAGGAGGGGAAAAATCACATTTAGAATCAAACCCCATAACTTCCAGAGATGCTCAGAGGGCTCAAACAAAACCTTGTGCATGCCAGGACCCAGGGACCCCACAAGAGACTGAGCCAAACCTGCCTTTGAGTGTTTGAATGTCTCCTGTGGAGGTATGGGTCAGCAGTGGCCTGCCGCGGGGACAGGGACTCTGGCAGCAGCAGACCTGGGAAGCAAGGCATGTGAGCCCCACCATAGAGCCATCAAGCAGACAAACCCACAAACTAGAGCAATAACCCCACAAGAGACTGAGCCAGACTTGCCTATGAGTGTCCAGGAGTCGCCAGTGGAGGCATGAGTGGACAGTGGCCTTCCATGGGGTCAGGGGCACTGAATACAACAGTCCTGGCATAAGTCCGTTTGAAGGAGGACCCCCTACCATGGTTTGGCCTCAGGCCAAACTACAGGGAGAGAACACAGCCCCACTCATCAACAGAAAATTGGGTTAAAGATTTACTTAGCATGGCCGTACCCATCAGAGCAAGACCAGGATCCCCCACAGCCAGTCCCTACCATCAGAGGGACCTACCATCCACAAACCTCTTATCCTTATCCATCAGAGGGCAGACAGAATGGAAACTACAGTTACAGAGAACTAACCAAACTGATCACTTGGATCACAGCCTTGTCTAACTCAATGAAACTATGAGCCATGAAACTATGTAGGGCCACCCAGGACGGACGGGTCATGGTGGAGAGTTCTGACAAGATGTGGTCCACTAGAGAAGGGAATGGCAAATCACTTCAGTATTCTTACCTTGAGAACCCCATGAACATTTTGAAACGTCAAAAAGTTATGACACTGAGAGATGTGGGTGCCCAATATGTTACTAGACAAGAGTGGAGAAATAACTCCAGAAAGAATGAAGAAGCTGAGTCAAAGCAAAAACAACACCCAGTTGTGGTTGTGACTGGTGATGGAAGTCAAGTCAGATGCTGTAAGGAACAATATTGCATAGGAACATGGAATGTTAGGTCCATGAATCAAGGTAAATAATTGGAAGTGGTCAAACAGAAGTGAGGCAAGAGTAAGCATCAATATTTTAGGAATCAGTGAACTAAAACGGACCGAAATGAGTGAATTTAATTTGGAAGATCATTATATCTACTACCGTGGGCAAGAATCCCTTGGAAGAAATGGAGTAGCCCTCATAGTCAACAAAAGAGTCCAAAATGCAGTACTTGGGTACAATCTCAAAAATGACAAAATGATCACTTTCGTTTCCACGGCAAACCTTTCAATATCACAGTGATGCATGTCTATGCCCCAACCACTAATGCTGAAGAAACTGAAGTTGAAAGGTTCTATGAAGACCTATAAGACCTTTTAGAACTAACACCAGAAAAAGATATCCTTTTTATCATAGGGGGCTGGAATGCAAACTAGGAAGTCAAGAGGTACCTGGAATGACAGGAAAGTTTGGCCTTGGAGTAAAAATGAAGCAAGCCAAAGGTTGACAGAATTTTGCCTGATCATAGCAAACACTCTCTTCCAGCAACACAAGAGACGACTCTACACACGGACATCACCAGATGGTCAATACCGAAATCAGATTGATTATATTCTTTGCAGCCAAAGATGGAGAAGCTCTCCAGAGTCAGCAAAAACAAGACCAGGAGTTGACTGTGGCTCAGATCATGAACTTATTGCAAAATTCAGACTTAAACTGAAGAAAATAGGAAAAACCAGTAGACCGTTAAGATATGACCTAAATCAAATCCCCTACAACACAGTGGAAGTGACAAATAGATTCAAGGGATTAGATCTGATACAGAGTGCTTGAAGAACTATGGACAGAGGTTCAGAACACTGTACAGGAGGTGGTGATCAAAACCATCACCAAGAAGAAGAAATGCAAAAAGGCAAAATCATTGTGTGAGGAGGCCTTACAAATTGCTGAGAAAAGAAGAGAAGCAAAAGGCAAAGGAGAAAAGGAAAGATATATCCATCTGAATGCAGAATTCCAAAGAACAGCAAGGAGAGATAAGAAAGCCTTACTCAGTGATCAATGCAAAGAAATAGAGGAAAACAACAGAATGGAAAAGACTAGAGATCTCTTCAAGAAAATTAGAGATACCAAGGGAATATTTCATTCAAAGATGGGATCAATGAAGGACAGAAACAGTATGGACCTAACAAAAGCAGAAGATATTAAGAACAGGTGGCAAGAATACACAGAAGACCTATACAAAAAAATCTTAATGACCCAAATAACCATGATGGTGTGATTACTCACCTAGGGCCAGACATCCTGGAGTGTGAAGTCAAGCGGGCCTTAGGGATCATCACTACAAAGAAAGCTAGTCGAGATGATGGGATTCCAGCTGAGCTATTTCAAATCCTCAGAGATGATGGTGTGAAAGTGCTGCACTCAATATGCCAGCAAATTTGGAAAACTCAGCAGTGGCCACAGGACTGGAAAAGATCAGTTTTCATTCCAATCCCAAAGAAAGGCAATGCCAAAGAATGTTCAAACTACCACACAATTGCACTCATCTCACACACTAGCAAAGTAATGCTCAAAATTCTCCAAGCTAGGCTTCAACAGTGCTTGAACTGACAACTTCCAGATGTTCAAGTTGGGTTTAGGAAAGACAGAAGAACCAGAGATCGAATTGCCAACATCTGTTGGATCATAGAAAAAGCAAGAAAATTCCAGAAAAGCATCTACCTCTGCTTCATTAACTATACTAAAACCTTTGACTGTGTGGATAACAGCAAACTGTGGAAAATTCTTAAAAGAGATGGGAATACCAGACCACCTTACCTGCCTCCTGAGAAATCTGTGTGTAGGTCAAGAAGCAACAGTTAGAACCAGAACATGGAACAGCAGACTTGTTCAAAACTGGGAAAGGAGTATGTCAAGGCTGTATATGGTCACTCTGCTTATTTAACTTATATGCAGAGTACATCATGCGAAATGCCAGACTGGATAAAGCACAAACTGGAATCAAGACTGCTGGGAGAAATATCAACAACCTCAGATATGCAGATGACACCACCCTTATGGCAGAAAGTGAAGAGGAACTAAAAAGCCTCTTGATGAAAGTAAAAGAGCAGAGTGAAAAAGCTGGCTTAAAACTCAACATTCAAAAAACTAAGATTATGGCATCCAGTCCCATCACTTCATGGCAAATAGATGAGGAAATAATGGAAAGAGTGACAGACTTTATTTTCTTGGGCTCCAAAATCATTGCAGATGGTGACTGCAGCCATGAAATTAAAAGATGCTTATTCCCTGGAAGAAAAACTATGACCAACCTAGACAGCATATTAAAAAGCAGAGACATTACTTTACCAACAAAGGTCCATCTAGTCAAGGCTATGGTTTTTCCAGTAATCATGTATGGATGTGAGAGTTGGACTATAAAGAAAGCTGAGCACCTACGAATTGATGCTTTTAAACTGTGGTGTTGGAGAAGACTCTTGAGAGTCCCTTGGATTGCAAGGAAATCCAACCAGTCCATCCTAAAGGAAATCAGTCCTGAATATTCATTGGAAGGACTGATGCTAAAGCTCCAATATTTTGGCCTCCTGATGTGAAGAGCAGACTCATTTGAAAAGACCCTGAAGTTGAGAAAGATTGAAGGCAAGAGGAGAAGGGGACAACAGAGGATGAGATGGTTGGATGGCATCATCGATTCGATGGACATGAGTTTGAGCAAGTTCTGGGAGTTAGTGATGGACAGGGAAGCCTGGTGTGCTGCAGTCCATGAGATCACAAAGAGTCAGACATGACTGAGTGACTGAACTGAATGACTAATGATGCTGGGCATCCTTTCACGTGTTTATTGACCCCTCATACATATGTATGTATGTATTTCTTAGAAGAAATGTCTATTTAAATCTTTTGTCCACTTAAAGATATTAGTTGTCAGTAGTACCCAGCCATAAAGAACAAAGTTGAAACTTTGCCATCTGCAGCAACATGGATGGGCTTGGAGGGCATTATGATAGGTAAAATAAGTCAGACAGAGAAAGACAAATATTGTCTGATCTCACTTATGTGAAATCTGAAGAAATACAGCAAGCTAGTAAACATAACAAAAGAAAAGCAGACTTACAGATACAGGTTTACCAGTGTGGAGAGGGAAAGAGGAAGGAAGAAGGGCAGTATAGGAATGGGGATTAAGAGGTACAAACTATAAAAAAAAGAAAAGCTGTAAAGATATATTGTACAAAAACAGGGTATATAATATTTTATGATGACTATAAATGGAGTACAACCTTTTAAAATTGTGAGTCATTATATTGCATATTTGTAACATATAATATTGTACAACTATATTTCAATAAAAAATTTAAAATTATTTTTAAAATTTCACAAATGTTGTGTTATTGAATTATAAGTTCTTTATATATCATAGAAACAAGTGCCTTATCATACACAAGCTTTGCAAATATTTCCTCCTATTCTTTGGGTTGTCTCTTCACTTTCTCGAAGGCATTGTTTGCATCACAAAAAGAATGTTCACTTATCAACCTTACCTGCTCTCTGAGTTGGAACCACCTCACCTGGCCCTTTATTATTCTTTTTGTTTTGGGTGCATTAGCCCTGCCTGGACTATTGGACTTTGACCCTTCTGGGGTCCAAACTCAAGTCTGGTGCTCTTGTGTTCCATCCAGAGTCAAATACAGTGGCCACCCAGTGTGTGCTTTTGTGCAGCTCATGCCCCGATTTTACCTTCCAGGGAGGGATTTGTGGACCCGCAGTTTGCGAAGCAGCACATCAGAAATATTGGGCATGACATCCAGCCCACCTTTTGACTCTTCTTCCTCAATAGCTGAGGAGAGTTCAGAAGGGTGTCCTGGAAAAACACAAAAAATTATTTAAATTATAAAGTGTCTGTTTGAAATCACAGTAGTATTCTTGGCAATTTGCTTAAGGGGGTAAGGAAGAACTTTAACATTTATTAGAACCTGGTTATACGCCAGGGGCTTCATAATTGTTATTTTATCCTCACAATAACCCAATAAGCTAGACTTTAATCATCCCATTTTACAGGTGGGTAAACCAAGACTCAGCAAGATTAATATTGTGTTGGCCAAAAAGTTCATTTGGGTATATCCAATCAAACCCTTTGGCCATGCTTACGGTCACAGAACTGGTAAATGGCAAGGACTATGAACAGTTCTATCTGTTCCAAGTTCTCTGTTCTTCCCACTGCTCCCCACAGTACCAAGAAGTCTCTTTTGTCTAGGGTCTGAGATTGGTTTTTGGCAATTGGAAGCTGGTTGGCTCTTTGGCTATACTGTTTAGAAAAATCCCCTCTATTTGGCAGGCTTCTCAGGAGGCCAGCTGCCCAACTAATCTTCCTCAAATGAATTCCACTATCTGTGTCCTGCTTAGAAATAAGCATTTGCTTCCATATTCCAACAGATGGGAGTAGAAACAGGGTTTTTCCAGAGTAAAGCTAAGGTCATTAGATCTTTGATCTTTTGTGGATCTCTGAAATAGTTGCCTCTGAGTTAGTTGTCCTGAGTTGCCTCAGGACTAATAAAAAGCTTTTTTTTTTTTTTCAAATGTCTCCTAAACCTTTCCTTGGTCTATGCTCTGAAGACAGAAATAACAAGCCAAGTGTTCCTCTTTCCCACAAATTTTTCTCATGTTCATAGAGAGCTCCAAAGCTTCCTTTCTCCATTTTCCCAACTGTTCAGCGTGGCCTCTAACGTCCCATGCCCCCACATTCTGGCTATTGCTACCCCAGAGGCTCCAATGCGCTCCATCAAACTCTTATCTCTGGAGCTTGTTGGCAACGTCCTTTGCACTGACCTCAGTTATTCATTTGGCATAGACTTGCTGTGCCCTACGGGCTCATAGCACACTTAGAATTAAAAGTCTCAAATCTCTTTCACTTGAGCTAAATCAAATATCGATGTATCATACAATGCTTACTTTCCATTGCAGGACTTTATATAGTTATCCATCTTTTACCATCTTTCATGGATTTGGGCGTAGCAGATTTCCAGAACGATAGTCAAGGCCTGAGATCAGGACTATGGGCAAGGTTGTAGTAGGCATGTAAATGGAGCTAAGATTGGGAGTCATGCATTAGAAGCCTCCTCAAGCGAGATCACGTGGTGAAATGATTAGGTATACTTTGGCTCTAGGTGAAGAATGTTTACATGCTTAGATCTTTCCAACAACTGAACAGTGTTGATGATATTCCTGGTCCTCAAGGCATCCAGCAAAGTCTGGAGAGCCATCTGTCAGAGCCAGGGCAGTCAGCAATCCTTCTTGGGATATGAGACTCTACTCATATCACATAGCTAGTTCTCTTAGCTACCTGTCACCTCTTGAGCTCTGCCCTGACACTGCTCTCTGACATTTCCATGTGACAGATGGCAAATCTTGTGATGCCTTTGGCCTTACTCTGCCTTTATGTATCCCCACTGCACCCAGCAGGGAGATAATGAAGAAGTGGGCTCCTGAGAAATCTTTAGGATTGACAGAAATATACAAGATCTAATAATCATAGGGAAGTCATATGAGGGGGTTTTTGCCTGGAAAAGTCCCCTAGGTAGAACCCCACCCACTAAAATAGCTGTCTTAAGAGTGATCCATGGGATTTCCCTGGTGGTCCAGTGGCTAAGACTCTGGGTTTCCAGTGCAGGGGGCCCAGGTTCGATCCCTGGTCAGGGAAATAGACCCCACACGCATCAACTAAAGATCTCACATGCCACAATGAAGATCAAAGATCCTGCATGCTGCAGCTAAGAAGTGGCACAGCCAAATAAATAAGTAAATATTATTTTTTTAAATGGTGATCTTAGAACTAGTGGCTCTCAGAACCAGCCACCCTCCTGATTGCAACCAAATTGACAACAATGCCAACAAAAAAATTTAAAGTCAACTAAAAATATATCACAACTCTCAAATACAAGAAAAGATAATAATCTTTAAAAATAATGGTCAGAGAAAAAATTTCCTAGAAATAAATGTAGAGCTCCCAACATTGTTAACTCTTTATTCCTCCCTCAAAGAATCAGTCTAGAGAGGAAGATATCAGAGGTAATAGTAAGGTTGTGACAAACTTGTGACAAACTTTTGTAGCCACTTTTGTGACTACAGAGCCAGAAGAGAACAGGGCCAACGGGTGAGTGGGCAGATGCAGAGGTGTTCAGAAAGTTTCTCTAGAGTAGAAGATCTCCACCCCACCAAACAACACTCCAACAAGACGAAAAATTGCCTGTCCTGCTGTTTGTTTTTCATACTGAGGAGGAGAGGAGAAGAAAGGAAAAGCAGAATGATAACACGGTATTCTACCAGAGCTGATGATTTCAAACAATATAAAGGGATTTACCAGAAAGGAAGATACATGAGAAAATAAATCAAACAAGTCCCTCTGATGGAGTGAGTGGCAGAAGACACATGGAAAACCCCAGCTGAAAATTGACCCACCCATCCTGCACTTCTGAGAAATAGCAGAGTGGCCAAACTCTTTGAATTTTGTCTGTCTTTTCTTTCCTTTCTCTGGCAGAAGAGTGAGAGTGGCTGCTGGCAATGGATGGGTCAAGGGTGGAAAATAAACACCTGGGCAGATTGTCCCTATAATTCTACCCTGAATTGGCGAAATAATCCATGCCTTACTACTGCCCACCCAAGGGAATAGATATACCACTCCCCCACTTCGCTGTAATAAATTCAAGTGCTACGGTAGGAAAAAGTTATAGAAAAAGAGCAGAAACCAACCCACAATCACCACCACCCACAGCTCTGTCTGAACTTCCCCTTTCCCCCATTCTCCAGGCAGTGACCAAGCAGACACAAAATACCCAGTCCTCAACTAAGCGCTGCCAGGAGGACAGATCTCAGAAGAGGTAGGAAGAAGTCAATGAAAATTGATCTACATGATATATCTAGGTCCAGAGAAACTTCAAGTAGAGATGTTCTTATCAAAAATAAATTAAATGAAAACAAATGTCATGGCAACTACACAAAAATAGTCAAAAGAGGAAGGAAAGTGGGGAGGAAGGTATAAAGGAAAGAAAGGAAACATGCAGGACACAGATGTCAGGATGGAAGCAGAGATGCAAGAAACACGTCAAAAATGCATTTTGTGTCTAGGGTATGCCACAAGTGCTTTGACTCAAGGGGTAATTAGAACCCCTCCCCCCAAAATGAAAATAAGAACCAGAGGTGAAATTAGAGGACGGCATAAGATGGAAGAAGATTACAATCTGAGAAAATAAACTGAAGACCAAAAATAATAAAACAAAGCAAAAAATTCTAAAAATATAGATCTAACCAATATGTTGGAAATATGAAGAAATAAAAACAAAGCTTCAAGTTCAGTTAGTGGAGGAAACTGAGATGAGCTCAAGGAATAAAAAAGGAAAGAAAGATTAAAGTATTGAGAGGTAGAATAATGGACCTACAGTGGGGACACTGATGAGAAATTTCCAGATTATGGTGGCTCTGAAGTAGGAGAGAAACAAAAGGAACAAAGAACAGAGTCAAAGATAAGAGAGAAGAAAAAATGTCCTCCATGGAGAGAAAAGCCAAATTTGCAGACTGAAAAAGCACACTACAGGAATAAATACATGTATATATAATCTTATTCTTTCTATGTATGTAGATATATCTTATATAGATCTTTATATATGGATAGGGAAATGCTTCTCCAACTACCCTTATAGAAAGAGTAAGCCACCTACAGGGAAAGGTGAAGACTGAGAGGTGCTGTAAATAAGCTGGTCTTAGACTTCTCAGCAACACTGAATACAGGGTAGCATTTATAAAGACCTGGGGAAAAGAGAGATCCAGAATGTATAAACATCCAAGCGCTCTTTCAAGGGACTTCCTTCCCTGGTGGCTCACTGGTAAAGACTCCACCTGCCAATGCAGAAAGGCATGTTCTGTCTCTGGGTCAGGAAGATCCCCTGGAGAAGGGAATGACAACTCACTCCAGTATTCTTGCCTGGGAAATTTCATGGACAGAGGAGCCTGGTTGGCTATCGTCCATGGGGTCACAAAGAGTGGGACCTGAGTTAGTAACTAAACAGACCAACAGCAACAGTACCTCAATGGTATTTTTGAAGTGTTTATATTTCTTGTTACTTTGTGGCTTAGATAATCATACACTGCATCCTTTTTAAATGTATATCAAAGACTGGTTCCGGGCCCTTGATTCTGTTTTATTCTGATAAGTACTATACCACTTTAACTACTACTGCCTTATAATATGTTCTAAGTGTATAATCAGTTACTTTTCCCCTCTTGCTGTTTCTTTTAAAAGAGTATTCATTATATTTTAGATATAAAGATTCAGTGAAAATTAATAGAAAGAGCAACTAGACAAGAATTCAGGAGATTGGACTTCATGGCCAAATACCACTTAACAGTGTCTGGTGTCTTTCAATGTGTCTGGTGTCTTTGTGACACTCTGGACTGTAGTATGCCAGGTTCCTCTGTCCATAGGATTCTCTAGGCAGGAATACTAGAGTGGGTTGCCATGCCCTCCTCCAGGGGATCTTCCTGACCCAGGCATCAAATCTGTATCCCCTCCTGGGCAGGCAGTTTCTTTACCACTGAGTCACCTGGGAAGCCCAGTCTTTGAGGTAACAGAATCTTAAATCTTCAGATACATATATCTTATTAAATAAAACAAAATTCAGAAGTATGAGTAAGATAAATACAGATATAACTATATATAAATTGCTAGAAAACAGATTTGCTACCCCAATTAAGGAGAAATAATTGGGCTTCCCTTGTGGCTCAGATGGTAAAGAATCCACCTGCAATGTAGGAGACCTGAGTTTGATCCCTGGGTCAGGAAGATCCTCTGGAGAAGGGAATGGCTACCCACTCCAGTATTCTTGCCTGGAGAATCCCATGGACAGAGTAGTCTGGTGGGCTATGGTGCATGGAGTCGCAAAGAGTTGGACACGACTAAGTGACTAACACATATACACCAGAGAGAATAAAAAGTTGCTGCTTTTTAAGAATTTATGGGGTTGTGGGCAAAATTTTTAAGATAAATCTTTTTCTAGGGTTTTAGACCTGCTTTAATAAAGAAGTTAGAAATTAAAAGTAGAGATTATATCATATTTTTTCCAAAGATCTCATCTAAAGATCATTTTTTAAAAATTAGTTCTTTAAAAAATTACTGGATATTTTACTTCTGTGAATCCGCTTGTCAATGCTGAATAGGTAGGAGTTAGTTGTTATATGTCAGACTGTGTGCTAAGTCACATCAGTCATGTCTGACTCTTTGCAACCCCGTGGACTGTAACCCGCCAGGCTCCTCTGTCCAAGAGATTTCCCAGGCAAGAATACTGGAGGGCGTTGCCATGCCCTTCCCCAGGGGATCTTCCTGACCCAGGGATTGAATCCATGTCTCCTACGACTCCTGTATTGGCAGGCAGGTTCTTTACCACTAGCACCACCTGGGAAACCCCTATGTCGGACTGGGGGCTTCCATCATAGCTGGTGGAACCGTGGACATGAACACACAACAGTCCTTAGGCAGAAGGCTTCTGTGCTGAGAATGAGTGAATGAGCATCAGCCATCTGGAGAGGGAGCTTGGGGTGGAGGGGAGCAAGACCTCCCCACAAGTCTTTCTTTCTGAAGATAAGTCTGGCAAGACAGTGGGTGGGGCCTTGCAGTCCCCAGGAAGGAGGGGCTGGGGTCTGGACTGCAGATTAGAAAGCAAGAGATGACTCTGATGTCTCAAAAAGAGGAACTGCTCTAGTTGGTGACATCCTGGGTATGAGAGGAAAAGGAAGCATCAAAAGTTCAGGCCTGGGTCACCCTTCCAGACCCACTAGGTGCTAATGAGGCTCAGGGAGGACTGGCAGGATCTGGAACAGGGGCTGGTTGGAAGGAGGCAAGTTTAGAGGTTCTCTGAGTGAGCAGGAAACACCATCTGATTCATTCATTCATCCATCTGCAAATATTTAGCAAGGGCGTGCTCTGCGTCTGGCCCACACTCGCCACCAGGACGGACAAAGGCCCTGACAGGAAGTGCAGTGTTTACACGTTCAGCTTCTTTGATCTGGAGAAAATGAATCCAGCCCTAGCCTGAGGAGAGTGTCTCTTCAATCCCACCTACCTTTTTCCTGCTCGGCCGCTTCACTAAGTTCTGGAAGCTTGAGCCCCACTAAGTTCTGATTTCTCAGCAGGATGTGCTCCTTTTTAGGGAAAGAAAGACAACATTTCAGATGGCGACCTCACGCTGGACTCCGCCCCTCGGTTCTCTGGCTCTGTGACTGCTCAGTTTCACGGAGCCGACACTAGGAACATGGACTGTCACGACACCTGAGGGGCACTAGGAAGACCGCTTCTCTCCCGGCCCATAAAGGTGCTAGAAACTCCAGCTTCAGCACCCCATTCCCTGAGTCAGGAATTGTCCTTGGCGCGGCCACCTTTTAAAATAGGTCTGTGAGCCTCAGAGCGAGAGAGCGGCCAGCCACATGGTGGCTGAAGGCTGGAGGACAAACAGAAGCAGAGCCGGGGGCTCTGGGGAAAGGAAGGTCCCCTGGGTGTAAATGGAGCTGCCAAAGATGGAAACAATCTCTGTGATCTCATGGCTGTGCTTAGCTGGCTGGAGCCTCCCGCCTTGTTGTTCTTGGGCAGTGAGTGCCCGCTTCCGGGACTCGTGGCCTCCCCTGCCCCCAGCTCCTCAGCGGCCTGTGATGGCACCTCTTGAGATATTCAGCTCTCCAGACCAATGAGGACTGCAGATTGCCGCCCCAAGGCAGCAGGCCAGCAGCCCCTTCTGCTGGGGGCCTCATCAGCAGAGCTGGGGACAGATGGGGCTGCTGACTCCAGGTATGTGGCACAGGAAGCCTCACACTTGTACCAAGTCCAAGACCAGCACCCCCAGGAGGAACTGCTGGACAGGGCTCCTCAGCCCCATGACGTGTGCTTTCTAAGAGGGTTTTCTGTGTCCCTGTAGCAGAGGCCACTTGGGCAGTTTGCCTCCTGGACGAAGGAGAGGAAGAGGCCAGCAGAGGGAGCTCTGGCCCAAATGGAAGTCACAGGCAGGGCCCTTTACCTGTTTCTTTAGCCAGCTGCCCACAACCAAGCAGCTCTCAGGACCCCGGATTGGGGTAGCGGTGGGGGGCTGGGGATGAGGTCAGATGCAGGGCAGTGGTTAGTGAAATGGGGCTTCCAAATTCTTTGTACTTTACTAAAGAGAGAAATGCAGGGGCCTGGGGGTAGCCTGTTGCCTGGGCCTGCTCTCTGATGCCCAGAAGCCCAAGAAGGCAAATGCCTGACTGTTTGGCTTCCTTGGGGTCACTCCACCCTGTGGAGTCCTGGCTGCCTTGGCCTGTGGTCTGGATTGGCCCTCTGGGGAAGGAGGGCTCAGGTAAGAATTTCTTTGCCTTAGTGACCTCTTTTCTTCCTTACATCCAGGGCTCTCTCCACCACCCCCATCTCTGGATGTCCCCCAGTCATTAGCATGGCAGCCTAATGACAGACAGTTGTGTCTGGTTTGACGGCCAGTGAAAGCTGGGGACATCGCGGATATTGGAAGAAATTCACCAAGAGGGAGTAGCCCTTTCTGGCCAGGTATGATGGATTTGAGGCCCTTTGTTAACAAGCAACAGGGAGGAAAGCCTGGGGGCATGACAGAAAGAAAAGTCATCCCATCCTTGTCTGTCCAAGGCAACAGAGCGCTCCATCAAAGGCTTCTTGCTCATAAGGCATCAGCTCTGGCTGGAGCGGAGAAACACAGCCCAGCACTGAGGGCCCATGTACCCTTCCACACAACCACTTTCCCCTCAAAATGTGGCTTTGTGTGGCAGCTACTTTCCAACTGACCTCGCCCGAGGGAGCGAGTAAAAGCTCTCAAAGATGATATTTATGCAGAGCGCACAGCCCAGCGGGCCTGGCTTCTCGGGGTGGGGACTTTTAGGGCTCTCCAAAGCCCACGTCTGGGCCAGAGCCACTCTGTTCCAGGGCCCAGCTCAGCCCAGTGACTTCAGCCCAGGGTGGGGACCTGCATGCACAGCCCACCCAGGAGGCCCCAGAAACCCACCTCACGAAGCTTGGTCAGTTTCTGCATCCGCACAGGCTGCACTTGTATCTGAAAGTCTTTGAGTCCGGGTGCCTTGGCCAGCTTGCTGCCAGCTTTGCCTGTAAAACGCTTCTCTTCCTCAGCCAGCGGCAGCTTGGCGAGCACTTTCTGCAGCCGGGGGCCGGGCTCTTCGGGGCCGCTGTCCCAGGAGACGCCCCGCAGCAGTGGCGGCCGGGACGTCGGGGGCCACAGCTCAGCTTTGGAGCCAACCTTGGACCCTGTGGGCTCTCCGATTGTACTCTTCCCCTGGGGGGCCTGGGGAGCCACCCCCCCAGAGCCCTGGGTTGGAGCTCTGGGCAGAGGGTTGCCCTCCTTGGCTGTCTTTGCCGGCGGCTTCCCCAGCTCACTCTCCACAGGGCCAGGCTGGGGGCTGTTAAGGGCCATCTTCCCACCACCGCCTGGGCCAGAAGCTGGGCCCTTGGGTATGGCCTCCGGGCGCTGGAGGGGATCGAAGTTTTCCTTCTGTTCTATTGTAATTTCTTTGGACTTCTCAACTGTGGGAGAGCGGGGAGTCAGCCTGCCCTGAGACAGTTTTCTCTGGTCATTCTGCTTCCGGTCAGCTAGCCCTTTGAGAACATTCTGAAAGAGACAGGGTAAATTTGGGACCCCGGAGGCAGGTTGGAGAGGAGAAGGGCGAGTTCATTTCTGCCGTGGGGTCTCTACCCCACAGACCCTGCTAAGGGGGGGTGGGCTAGGTAGAAAGGGAGGACTGCAAAGTCACATCTGAGCCAGTAAAAGGAACCTACAAACAAGCCTGGGGTTTGTAAAACAGACAGGACAAGGGGACCTGCCATTCAAAACCTGCCAAGAACTTCTCGAGGGCTAGGAGCTGCAGAGTGCAGTGGAACGGAGGGCGGCCCGGGGGCAGTCACAAGTTCTGGCTTTGACTCAACTGCCCCAGATTCTCGCCCTGACTGCCTGGCAGGGCCCTTAACTCTTAGGGCCTCGGATTTCCCATCAGGTTTGTAAACTCTCTGAAATTATATGCGAATGTATATGTGCTGTTCATGGGCTATATGTATTTTTCTGGGAAGGGAATCCACGGCTTTCAACTATTTCTCAGAGTTCTATGATCCAAAAGAGGCTACAGATCACTGAATGAGGTGATTCTTGCAAAGCTGACCTTTTACTCTTCAGAAGTTCTGAGATTCTATATCCTTTCATTTCCCAGGGAAACCTGCTTTGTGAGGCTCATGTGGGTCTGTGTGGGTATTTGTGCTGCTGTCCTGTGTGTGTGCTGACACTCCAATAGAGGACTCTATCCCAGACCCAGTTCTATTAATAGATGAGATTATATTCTATGCTGCCCTTGACACCACCTTGAGCAGCTGACTCTGAGCAGGTGTGGGACTCTTCTTTTTCTCATCAGCCAAGATAAAGTTTTCCAGGTGACCCCCAAGAAGAGCCCCAACTAGGGGCTGGAGCTTGCCTGCTATTTTCATGCAAGCTGACTGGAACAGCAGACTTGCCCGGCTTTTGCTGGGTCCAGAGGCCCCCCGGGCCTCTGGCAGCAGCCTGACTGGGGGTCTAGGGCTATGAGCAGGACCACTATGGAGGTCATTCCCACTAAATCCCACCTCCTCACCCCCTCCTCCTCAGAATTCCAGTCAACGCAGGGCAGAGGAAATTTCTAGCTTCCTCAGCCTGAACCTTCCACTCACACACACCCACTGGCAGGCTGCCCAGGGCCTAGCCTTCTGGGACACTGTGTCTCCCACACTCCAATCATCCCAGCTGGGCAGAGCTCAAACTCACAGACTCGCCAAGGTGAGGTGAAGGGACTTCGGCCTCATCCCCCTTCTGCTGGAGAAAGTAAACATGAGTCAGCCAGCAACGTGAAGAGACCCTATCTCTTCTTGAAACACCCTCAAGGAGACCCTACAGTGGTGTCGATGCCTCCCCCGCCCAGCAGCCCCACCTCCAGTGGGTCACAGGGGGCCTCTCAGGAATTGAGGGGTAAGAGAAGAGACTGGCCGGCACAGAGATCCCACAGCAGCCCCGTTACCTGTGGTGGAGCTCCGGGCAGAGGGGACGGTGGGGCACTGCACACATCCAAACCTAAAATAGTCCAGATGCTGGTGAGTGATGCCCAGCGCCCCCAGACTCTCAGCTGTCCTCCCCAGAAGGTCCTCCCTCGGGCCCCGCAGGCTTGGAGCCAGTGTTTGTTGAATACCCCTCACAATGCTGCTCCATGGGGAGCCCCCATCTAATCATCATGGAAACCGCATAAGCAGGCTGGGGCAGAGGGAGAGCAAGGCCACACAGCCAAGAGAGTCAGCGCTGGACTCTGAACCTGGGTTGCCTGGCCCGAGCCTGAGCTTGCCCTGCAGCTCCAACCAGGGCAACCTGCTCTCCTGGGCACCTCACTCCTTCCCTGGCTGAGCTGTGGTTATGGCTCTGAACACAGCCTCATGAAGGGAAGCAGTCAAAATACAAATTGTGGCCCAAGTGGAGGCCTTTGCAGTAAGCTCTGAGGTCCCCTCTCTCTGAGGCCTCTCTGGACAAGGGGCCCCGGTCACAGCTCGCTCCCACCACCTTGCACCCATCCTCACCCTGGGCCAGGCCCATCTCCCCATGCTAGCTCGAAACCCTGAAAGCAAGCATATCTTCCTCCTCTGAGGCAGCCCAGTCAGGCCCCGGGAGAAGGGGCCAAGAGGGGGTCCTGCCTAGGAAGCCCGCAGGATGGGAGCCCTGGGGCCCAGTGGAGGGACTGCACCGCCACCCAGCGGGAGGAGCCAGGGCAGGCTATGTCGGGGGACTGGACCTCACCGGGCGAAGTGGGGACCGTGAGGGAGTTGCTCTGAGAGGATGCAGGAGAAGCTCCGGGGCTGAGGTTTGGGGAAACAGCTGTGGAGACACACAAATTGGCCAGCATTCGTGAAGGTTCAGGACTTCAGTCTGACAAAGACATCCTTTCAGGTTATGTCTCACCCTTGGGGACCGGGTCTGCCTCATCGGGTTCACAAGCTGATTCTAGACTCTATATAAGGCTTCTGCCACAGCCCAACCCCTACCTGTCCCAACAGAGGGGGCACTGAAGTCACTTAGGGATACGGACGGCAATTTGGATCTTACTCCTCAGTCTGCCTGGCCTCAACCCAGAGTACCTTCTAGAAACAGAGGACCTGGCATCGCTTGGCAGGTATGGCTCCAAAGGCTGTACCTCTTAGACTTGCCAGGATGGCCCTGATTTTAATTGCACACCTTGTCTCCTAAGTACATTCAGATCTGTCTAACTGCCCCAAATTTTTGCTCAAGAAAAAAGAGTGACTTTAGTCAAAGGGTTAACAGGAGGATTTCAGGGTCCAGGAAAACCTTCTAATCCAGAAATTTCATAAAAACACCAAAGACCGCCTTCCTTCCCCCTTAGTAGCTAGGATGCTTCCCGGGGTCTCCAGCTGGAGGTCAAGGAGAGGGAGCCCAGTGCCGGCCTCTCCTGACCTTCGCAGGGGAGGTGCCCACAGAACAGGGCCTCCTGGGGGGATGGCAGGAGGCCACACAGACCCGACTTGCAGGGTGGCCCAGGAGTCTGTGCACACTGGCATCACACAGAGGATTTCTCTCCTTTCAGAGTTCAGGGACTGGGGAGCCCAGGTCAAGTTCATGGGTATCATATGGGCTAGCATTTCTTGGCAAAGCAGGAGTACACAATGGTAACACATAGCCCCCCAAAACTGAAAGGTAAGAGAGTTTTCTGAGCTAGAGTTGGGTATTTCAGAGCTTCTGATATGGGGCAAGATGCCCTCCCCTCACAGGATCCTCTCCATGAGGCTCAATCCTCCTTGGGCCTAGAGGCCTGGTGGTAGGTGCATTGAGTGCACCCCTCAGAGGCAGGGGTCCTGCTACAACTGCTGTCTGGCCCTCCCCACCCCCATGCCCCTCAGAGGGGCTCAGAGCGGCCACCTGTCCTACCTGGTGAGGAGTCTGCGGGACTGCTCCTGGACTTCCTTCCACGGCGGGTCAGGAACCGCTCGCTTACCGACTTGGCTTCCTCCAGTAGCGCCAGGTTTTTCTTCTTGTCCTCCTCTGAGATGCTGATGTCCGGCAGCTGGTCATTGACCAGGTCAATGACGTGCCCTGCAGGGTCTGCAGAGGCAAGTGAGCTCCAGGTGAGACCCATGGAATCCTTGGTGTCTCAGGGCCTCAGCCCTGCCCCCAACCCCCAGCCCCGAGCCCACAGATGCTACCCAGAGTGGACTCGGCCAGTCAAACCTCGGCCCAATTCTGGACCCTGGAGAGGGCTACATGGGGACAGACAGGCTCCCTCAGCAGGCCTAGCCCCACCAGCCCATGGCTGGCCTTCTGTCACAAATGACTATGACATCCCCCAGGTTCCCTGTCCTAAACTCTACCATCAGGAGCCCCACCTGTGTTATCTGCTCCCCTAGTGTGCTCCCTTTGGGTCTCTGTTCCTTTAACGAGCCAAGGACACAATCCCAAGGCCACCTTCCATCATTTTTCCCTCTGTTCACACTGTTTACCCTGTGCTGTGCTAAGTCGCTTCAGTCGTGTCCGACTCTGTGCGACCCGATGGACTGTAGCCCACCAGGCTCCTCTGTCCATGGGATTCTCCAGGCAAGAGTATGGAGTGGGTTGCCATGCCCTCCTCCAGGGGATCTTCCTGACCCAGGGATCGAGCCCGTGTCTCTTACGTCTCCTGCATTGGCAGGCGGGTTCTTTACCCCTAGTGCCACTTGGGGAGCTCCTCTATCCTTATTCTATCCTTCTCCAAACCTTACCCCTATCCTTCTCCAAGACTGCCCCTTCTCCAGGAGACTTTCCCTGGGTTAGTGATACCACCTCTCACCCAGCTGCTCAGAAACATGGGAGTCACTCCACACTCTTTCCTCTTTCTCAGTCCACCCAGGTCCTGCCAACTCATCATCAAGTAAACATCCCTGGAACCTGTGCCTCATCTCCATTTTTGCTCATCAGCTGTGACTTACTTGCTCAATTACATCAGCACCTCCCAGGTCCTTTCCACCTCCAGGTTACCTGCACCATCCCATCCTCCGCTGCCTCTCAGAGTGACCATCCTAAGAGCCTGCTCTGCCCATGCAGTTCTCCTGCCTCAGCTCCGCAGGATTCCTCACGGTCCCCAGGGTGACATCAGGTGCCCAGCTGGGCCCAGCCACTCTTCCTGAAGCCACATGCTCCTCTCCTCCAGCCCCTCTGCGGTGAGTGGCTCCGTTGTGCCTCTCCAGCCTCCTTTCCTCCTTCTTCCCGTCAGAGCTCCCCAGTCTGCACTGGGTGAAGCTCACTAGAGTCGCAGTCATGTTGGGGAATCAGGAAGGAGCTAAACCCTGTCGCCTGCCTCATCTCGTGTACCAGTAATGGAACTGTGTACCATCCTCAGCCAGTGCATGAGCTCAGTCCCCCTGGGTGGCTGGCTCAGGGATGGCCAGGCGAGGCAGTGAGAGGCAATTCTGAGGAAGGTGTTGGGTGTATGGGGAAGAGGAACTCTCTTTTCACTGAAGGGATATAAGTTGCTCATAGACATTTGCCCAGAAGAAAGCCAGCACACGAGAGAGGAGACTGGGGAGGGCGGATGAGATGATCGTTCACGACCCAGCGTGAGCACCTGGGGTTAGCACACCCTGAAAACACAGACCCTGGCTTTTATTTATTTTTTGGCATGAGCTAATTTAAGCTGAGCTTCTGTGATGTGAGGGTCCTGACTAATACACACAGCAAAGCATTCAGTCGCTCTGTTAAGGCTCCTGCTCCCCAACAGTGTTGCTTCTTCCATCCAGATGAACTTTCCTCCCTCTTGTCCACCTCTCTAAGCCACAACTCACATACTCCCCCGTCTGGAATACCTATCCAGCCCTCCCCGTCTCTACCCAGAATTGTTGCCCTTCTTGACTCAGTTTCCCTAGCCTTCCGGGAAGGACCTGGCCACAGTGTCTTGATTCTATCCGTTCACTTGTCAGCCTCCTCACCGACAGTGAGTGACATGCAGGCAGAGCCCACGCCTGTACTTGCGTTCAGATGGTCCAGAGCAGACTCTGAGGTATCTTGGGGAAGGAGAAGGTGGCTGGGGCAGCCAGCCTTGCAGCTAAGCCCACACCTACCTGGATGTGGGCCTTTCTAGCTGGGGGCGGAGAGGCTCACCTAGCCCTTCTGTCTCCCTTTGCCTTATCTTCCTCTGTATGCCCAGGACTTGTGTTTTTACCAAAACAAACTGAAATCAGATGTTTGGGCTCAAACACAGAGGGCTCATCAATGTTGCCCTGTTGGGCTTCTAGGAACGGACTCATCTGAGAAACAGGAGTGGGGAGGAGGCCAAGCTGCCAGACCTCAGTCTTCCTACTCAAACACACCTTCAGCTGGCCCTCTACCTCTGGCTGCAGAAATAAGAGAAATCAGCCTAGTCCTTACCCACAGAAGTCAGCGAAGCAGTGGAAACCTTCAAGTGTCGGTGAGAAAGCCTCCTGTGGGGACTGTGGGCTCTGAAAGACAGGACAGAATCACCTTGTTAAGAAAATTTGTCCACTGAGCATGTAAATAGGTACCTAGATGTTTGCCTATGCTTTTAAAGTCATCCTAGAGCATGGCTTTCGATCTCGTCTAAGCTTGGGATTTGTTAGAAACACACATTCTCAGGCCCCACCCACCAACAGGATCAGAAACTCTGGGGATGGGGTCCAACTCTGTGTGATTGATTGAACAAGTCCCACCCCTCAAAACCAGGTGCTTCTGAGGCTCGCTCAACCACTTCCCTGAGGAGATGTAACTTTGTTTATCAGGGCTCAGACTCTGAGCATCTAACTTGCAGAAAACTCATAAAATGTGAGTAATTGCCTGGTAGAGATGCAGATGATTTCTGTTGGGGAAAAAACATTAAAAAAAAAAAGGTTTCATTGTCCCATGAAACATTAACCTATTTTATATCTAACTTGGCAATCTTATTCCAGCTTTCTTGTCCCCACTGATTATATTAAGTATGTCCATTTCTTGTATTCTCTTTTGAACTGGTTTTGTATTCCTGATGGTCCCCCCACCCCATTAATGAGTTAAATAAATCTTTGACACAGGCTCATTACATATCTGTATTAGAGTTATCTTGGCAACTTTTTGGAAATTACACTTAGGCCTTCTCATTCCAGTTAGACGAAGGCATGAGCTAGTGCTGTGAGACTGAGACAGTGACGTCCCCGTGCATCTGAGCCCATCTTCCTCCCACGAGGTCATCTGCCACACAGGCAGAATACTAGTCAAGAATCCACCTCTTTCAGGTCTGTTTGCAAATATATGGGCAGATATGATAGGAAACTCCCCTGCTATAATTTGTGCTTTTCTTAAATGTTAGCCAAGCGCAAAGATCTGAATCCAGGAGAGAAAATAATATGGTGAGGGGGAGGTAATGGAAAAATGCCATGCTCTCTCTCCCATTTTGAAAAACCGCTTGATTAGATTTCATCAATAAAATCATCAAGAAAGAAGAAAAGATTTGTAAAAAACAAAACAACAACAACAAAAAACAATAGAGTTGTGTAATCCCACCTGCTAGGAAATAGTGGCCTTTATTGCATAGATTAGGCACATAGGATGTACCTGTCGACCGGGTTTTTGTCAGTTTCTCCTTCCGGTGAACTGGCATCCCCAGTCAGGATGATGGTGGGTGGACTGCAAGATATTCCTGCGGTGGCAGGGTCCTGGTGATTTAGAACAAGAACACAGATGGAGTTAAGCTTCCAAGAGCTGGGACCTTTATTCCAGCGTTGTGATCCCAGAGCCTTCTTGATATGGGCCAAAGGCAGTTTATTTGGATTATCCAGAAAAAAGAAAAAGAAAAAAGTTTCTCCTTCATTCACCTAGCTTAACTTGGTTTATCTTTTAGGCACTAAGATTAGGAAACGACAAAGCAATTCCTGGTTATTTCTCACTAACAATGTATTAATAGGAAAAGAACAATAGAGTCCTTAGGCTGCAACCAGCCTGCTTAGGGAAGGATGCAGGCCAGCAGAAAAGGTGGTGACACACACATTCCTGATACCCAGTGACAGTCCTCCATTTGGCTAATTGTGACATTTCAATAAAGGTGATTTGTTCCATGGGTAATGGAACATGGTTTTTAACTTTTCTAACTTTGTAAAAATGTTTTAATAAATAAATATTTCTGAAATAATAACAAAAGTTACAGGCCAATCCTTGAATTTTTGAGATAGTTTGCAACTACTAAGCAAAATAGAACAAAACTTCTAGCCACCAAAATGAAAGTTATTACATTGTAAGTTGGAGCAGCTATAGTGAAAAATGGTATACTGTTATGCTGCTAATGGTTGTGTGAGTTTTAAAACCCTATGTATACAAATATAACATACAAATTTGTATGTTACAAATATGTATAATAAATATTTGTTGAGTGAGTAAATGAATGAATGAAATAAAAGCATGTTGTATAGGATATACAACAGAATTCATAAAGATGCACGTCAACCTGTGTTTTCCCACACCTAAGTGGATTGGAGACAGAAATAGGACCAATGAACAGTAACAATAGTATCTCTGATTTTTCTGCCACCTGATGTCCCAGTATATCCATCTCAGAATTGTTCCCAGTTATAACTGGGAGACTCTCTGGGGGTCCTCTTTTATGATCCTTCATCATTTTCCTTCTCCTTGCCCTGCACTCCCATACTGGTGTATGATGTTCCAGCCCTCTGTGAATGCCCTACTCTCTCTACCAAAGGCTTGTCTCCCTATGCTCCTGAGCATGTCACACCACCTACAATATCAGTGCAGCTTCCTGGAGCTTCAGAGCAGTGGGTCCCCACGGCCTCTTTCTATGGAGGTCATGTCCTTCTAGAGCCTCTGGGCATTAGTGCTCTTACCTCTATTGGTCTCGATGAAGCCATGGCCTGGGGGCTGCCCTCACAGAGCCAGGCTGAGCTGTGTTCTTTAGCCCTTGGTATGCAGGGGTTGGCTTTTTGCAAGGCGGGGAGGAGGCCCTCTCTCGTTTCCACATTATTCTTTCTTGTCAAGTAGGTACTATACAGAGTTATCTGGACTTCTTGATTCCCACAACTTTTAGTGAAACCAGCTCTTCCATTTTCATCTGCGTCTATTCCCTCCCTTGGCCTCAAACATGAGGCCAGGTGAGCTGGGGAAGAGTCTCTGAGTCCAGCCAGGGAATGCCAGATCCCTGGGTTCCACAATGTTTCAGCAGGAGGGAGTTGCAGTGATGAGACAGGGAGAAGTCCTCAGAATCCCTGAGCACATGGAAGGAAACTTCGGACAAGGACTCTGGCTGGGTGGGAGTAGGAAGCAGCATTGCCTTTTTCCTTTTCCTTTGGAAGAATCACACCCTCAAATTTCTGCTAGTCATCCACTAGCTGTGTGTCCTCGGGCAAGCTACTTAACCTCTCTATGCCCCATGACAACTCACAAAGCTGATGTGAGGATTAAAAATAATGTTGACAAAGTACCTTAGCACAAGACTGATATATCAATAAACAGTCACACCATTGTCAAATCACTTTTCTCTCTCACTCAACAAACACATTTTAGTTATGCATCATGTGCCAGAAGCAGTATGAGATACAAAGACCCTCAAGAGCTCACAGACAAGCAAGGGATACAGAGAAGTAACTCATACTGATAATACATATCAGGTGATAAGGGATGACCACATTCTTTGCAAGCTCAAAGGAAAGCAAATCGAACTCTCTTATGAGGGGAGCTGGAGAAGACTCTCCAGAGGAGGGGACATTTAAGCTAGCTCTTGAGGGATGAATATGAGTTTGCAATACAAAGATATTAGAGGAGGGACTTCCCTGGTGGTCCAGTGGTTAAGAATCTGCCTTGCAATGCAAGGGATAGGTGTTTGGTCCCTGATCAGGGAACATAAGGTCCTACGTGCCACGGAGCAACTAAGCCCACAAGCCACAACTAGAGAGATACCGCGTGACTCAGTGAAGCTCCTGGCTGCAACTAAGACCCGACCCAGCCAAATTTAATTAATTAAAAAGAAGATATTAGGGGAGAGGTTTTGGGCAAAGGAAACAGCCTTAGTAAAAGGCATAACAGCACTAAGGATTCCTCAGTGTAGCTGGAGCATAGACTATGGAGTATGTGAAATAACTTGCTCACTCTTCCCCGACCCCTTTCCCTCTCTCCCTCTCTCTGTTCCTCCCCAACCCAGCTTAGTCTTCCAGCTCCATTCAGTTTTTCATGGTGCAGATTGTTTTAAACCGCCCCCTCTTTTTTTAATGATTGACACAAAAGTTTTCAAAAGTCTTAGAGTCTAAGAGAGTGGCCAGTCTGTAAACTTTTGCACATTATTACACTTAATTCTGTCTGTTTATCCAGCAAACATTTATTGAATGCCTCCTACATGCTATGGTCTATGCTAGGGCCTACGCAGACAAAGGTGAACCAGGAGGACCTCTGAAATACTTCCCCAGCTAGCACAGTGGGAGGGGAGTGAGGTAGAAGTACCCTCCTCCCCACCGCTACCGATCCCAGGTAGGGTCCCGCCAGTCCTGCTGGTCCGGTTGGGTGCCCTCAAGGTTGACGCTGTGAGGTAACTGGTCTGCAAGGCACTGGAGGGCCTACTTTCCAGTGGAGTTTCCCCTGACTCCTGGTGAAAGGGGTGAATATGAGTCACTCTCCAGAGGTGACTGTCATACATGGGGCTCCTGGTACCCTCACCCGGAGGAAGGCCAAGGGCAAAGATTCCCACACAGAAAGGCAGAAACGAGCCCCTGGTGGTGAGTGCCAAGCATGTAACCACAGACACACACACAATTTGAAACTACTTAAAAGCCAAGAGGCACGAAGCAATCAGGGAGAAATCCTCTAATCCCCAGATGGAATGCCCTGGAATGTCCTCATGCTCTCCTTCCAATGTGTACAAAATACACACTAATAAAATCAAATTGTTCTCTCCCTAATCAGCTCACAGAAAGCTCCAGGCAATATCTAATTTTCTGCAAAACTGTTTTTGTGGGGAACATTTAGTCTTGTGCTGGCTGGGTTTCACTTCAACGGGGGAGTCAGCAATCAGGAGAGAGTGTGGGAAGATTCCAAGGGCCCTCCGGGTGAATTCTGCCAGGTTTTAATGCCGTGTAAATACTCATCCTTGCTCCCGCTCTGAGCTGCCAAAACAGAAGGCAGGGCCTCAAGAAAGCTTGTTGGGCGGCGCATTCAAACAGAATCTGCCAGGCAGGTTCCTGGCTCCAGGACTTCAGGACTCAGGCTCTGGAGCCACACTAGTTCATGATACAGCTTTTCACATTAGTTGTGTGACCTTGGGCAAGTGACTTCACCTCTCTGTGCCTCATCTATAAATAAGCTATCTCACAGCGTAGTTACAAGAATTCCACAGACTAATGTAGAAATAGGATTGCCAGATAAAATACAGGATACTCTTCAAATAAACAACAATTAATTTTCTAGTGTAAGTAGGTCCCAAATACTTACACCAAAGTATTTAGTGTAAAGGAGCTCTGAAGGTAAAGACTCTGCCTTCAGTGCAGGAGACCAGGGTTCGATCCCTGGGTTGGGAAGATCCCCTGGAGAAGGGAATGGCAACCCCCTCCAGTATTGTTGCCTGGAGAATCCCATAGACAACAGAGATTTGCGGGCTACATTCCATGAGGTAGCAAAGAGTCGGACATGACTGAGTGACTAACACACATGTCACAAATATTGCATGAACATAACTGTTTCATTTGCTAAGTGTGGCAGCTCCAGATGGTAAGCTTGTAGAAGGGCACCCGGCAGCTAGTAAATGCTCAATGAGTGTCAGATGTTATAGTCTGCTATTGGTACCTTTGGGGCTCAATTAACGACCTTGGAATTTGGTTTGGAGGAGACTGTTGTTCTTAGTTTTGCATCTACAAAACCTTTTGGAGTTCAATTAGGAGGACCTTGCACTTCTGGTCATGGAGCCACAGAATGTCTTCCATGGGACACCCGGCCACAGAAGCCCAAGTAACCAAGGCCTCCCAGGGAAGCCCACATCCAAGGCCTCCCCAACCTGGCTCCACTCCCGCTCACCACCTGCATCTCAGACAAAGTAAAGATGATTCTTACCTACAGGAGAAGCAAAGAAACGAACATGGATAGAAGGAAGTGGCATTTAGTCTAAGCCCTGCCTGCGGGGCCTTGCTCCAGGCACTTCCTGGGTGTTTTCTCGTAATTCTTCCAGCAACCCCGAGGATGAACCTCAGGACACCCATGAACAACGTGGGGTGAGAATGCCTCCTGACCTCACAGAATCATGCAGGGGAGATGAGAAGACGAAAGCAAAAGCCCTGAGTGTGGAATAGGGGATGAATATGTTTCTTTTCTTTCCCCCTTTTTCATATTTCACTTCCCACTTAACCAACAACAATAAAAACCAGACTGTCCAGGGCTGCACAACCCTGGGGAGAGACAAACGCCAGGCCTGTTGGCCTCCTGCCACCCACGTTGCCCGTACAAGTTGTCTCCAGGTCTTGGGTCTCACATCCCCTGATTTCTGGTGCCCTGCGGGCCTCTGATGCGCCTCTTTTATTCTTCCAAATTGTCCCCTACCCAATGATCCCCTTCCTCCAGGAAGCCCTTCAGGCTGAATACACAGCTGGAGGAAAGAGAGCAGGGGCACCCTTCTCACCTTCCAGGGCCCAGCCTCCCCAGAGATCCACTCCCCTCCCCTGGAGTCAGCCGA